CGAGTTTACAAAAAATTGTAAGTTTACGACGATACGGATACGGATCCACTGGCAATGATCTATCGATGCTCTGCATTTGCGGGTCTGTCGACTCGCCGTCAGCACCGACGACGTTCAAACCGAGTTCAGGCTATTCCTTTGCCTCGGGTACGCACTCCGGACGTGACTCAAGGTGAATTTACTATCACCACAGATGCTAGTCTGTTATGCCTAGGTCGTGTCATAGGCCAACAACAGCATGGAAAAGAAGTCAACATAGCCTACTGGTCCAAAATTCTCAACCCTGCCCAGAGGAACTATTGTGCAACACACAGAGAGCTACTTGCACTAGTAGATTCAATAAAAGCATTCCATCATTACCTGGTAGGTGCACCATTTGTAGTCAAAACTGACCATGCAGCTTTACAGTGGCTAAAGAATTTCAAATATCCTACAGGTAAGGTAACACGATGCCTTGAAAGATTAGCCCCACATAAATTCCAAGTAGCCTATGTGAAAGGAACAAGCATAGGGCATGCAGACGCTTCATCCAGGAGGCCATATGATGACTGCAAGAAATGTGACAGACTGGAAGAGAGAGACAAAACAGTGTTAGTCTGTCAATGTAAAACAGAAATAAACTGTGACGACAACTGACCAACATACCTGTTAGGGGAAAGAAAACAGGTACGACTTACCTCAGACACGGTAAAAGTTCACTGGACAAAAGTTATTCCCAAATGGACTCAGTGATAAGGAAATTAGAAAGGGCCAACTGTTAGACCCAGATATAATGCCAATCATGGTTGCTGTGCAGGATGGAGAGAGACATGAGTACCAAGAAATTGCTGGAAATAGTAAAACTAGGTCTCTGTGGTATCAATAGGGCGTTCTAGGCAATCTAAAACGGCAGTAGGAAAAGAACTAACTCACTGACCTTTCTGTTTCCGTAATGGCTCTCATTAGCCGAGCTAATCACGTGCCTCCGCAACCTTTCAGGTACGAGAAACTGTCAGATCAGTTTCGAGCTCCCCTCCATATTTGAAAGGGTAGGATCACACCAAACTACCATGGTAGTTTCTCATGCAGGGCGGGTGGAATCAGATAAATCAGTAAGTTGGTTCTTTTTCACTTCCATTTCAGATAGCCTGGTCTGTTATTCAGAAGATTTGAACATCCTTGTGGACTAAAAGAAAAAGAGGAATTGCAACTGATACTACCATACAAACTGGTAAAACTAGCTATATTTACGCCAGATCACGTCTCGCGTAACAGGCTTCCGAAGCTTGAAAAATCACGCCTGGCGTGAAAATCACGCTTGCGTTTCGTGAACTCTGTATCCACACTCACAACTACTACTACTTTTCAAAACGAAAACGAAAACAAAACAACATGACCAAGGTGAAACAACGCGTTGATGTGTTATTCGCAGTCGTTTTCAAGCTGGTCAGCTTTACTGTTTACTGTTTGGACATGTACTGCCCTGGCATTAAATCGAGGCCAGACTACATTCATCCGTCTG